TGTTATCGTACTTATCAACTGGGATAATATTTTGACAATGCACAGTTTCTTTATGTGGCTAGTATATATATTTTATCAACTTGTGAAACAGCATATATGTAATTAAAAATGACACTCCGAGCCACAGGGGTTCGAATCACTGTTTGGACAAGAATTTTTTTAAATAAAAATCTAGGTTTTTGCAATCGTATGTTGTTTTTATATGTTATGATTAACCTATATTTCAAATTTGAACGAGATCGGTGAAGATATAAGTTTTAAAGAAAATTCCAACTAAACTATCACTATCACCCGCAGCCTTGACTTGAGCTGTGAAAATGCCAATAACTTCCAACGGTTTCGATGCATCATATGGAAATATTTTCTGGATGTTTTCTGGGTAGCACATTTTATGTTGTGTTCTTTTAAAGAGTTCCAATGATCATGATTTATAATGTTCACACTGCATCCTGAATCAATAATCATCTCTAGGTTTGCTCCTCCTATACACATGGTTACAGTTGTTAACATCTTGTCCCCTGATACTTGAAATGCATACCCTTCATCCTCTACAGTTTCAAACTCCTCTGACCATTTCCCATTTCTGTCTGATCTTCATCTACTAGATTGACATGATCCTGTCCTCTATATGATTGATCACCTCTAGCTCTACCTCTTCCATACGAGGATCGTAATGATCGGGGATTTCGAAAATTTCTTCCTCGACCCCAGAGTGACATGTTTGTTCTACAACAGTCAATAAAATGTCCTACAATGCCACACCTTCGGCATGTTTTGTTGCGTGCCGGACACGATTCATCCTGAACCAAATGTCCTTCTTGCCCTTCAAATGTCCTATTCTTTGCAAAACGACCTGATCCTTTTTCGACATGAAGTAAACTGGCTCTTGTTTCACATTCATGTCTTTTCCAATCATGACGTGTTCATTTCTCACTTTAGTTACTTCTCCTGCCAATGCTAATTCTGAAGTCTCATCCACAGTCAAACCTGACCCTTTCTGTATCAATTTCTCTCTCAGGTTGTTACATTTACATCCATAGACTATCTGATCTCACAATTGTTCCAATTCACTAGCTGCATAAGCACAAACACTTATCTGTGTTTTCAATCTTGTCACATATTGCAGCATAGTCTCATTACTTTCTTGTTTCATGTCTCTAAATACCAGTCTCTCAGAAACAGTATTGACTTTAGGTTTGACGTATTTTTCTAAAGCTTTCACAGCTTTGTCATAGTCTTTAGCATCTCCAATGTCATCTAAAGTGAAAATTATGTCTTGCACTTCTAGACCAGCCCTAGTGAGCAAGCGAGCACGTTTTACAGTTGAGTCAGTGACACCCTCACTTGTGATTGACAGTTCAAATGCTCTACGCCATCTCTCCCATCGTGGACCTAACGCGGTCTGATCGCCTGAACACTCAAAAGTTGGTAAACTATGCGAATATTCTGCAGTCATTTTGCCATAAATGTCTCTATACTCTTCCAAAATTGTCTTCTTAAGTGTTCCTCACTTACAAAACAAGTCTTCTTTCTCCTCTATTGTTTTTCTAAACTTGAACACTGTAATGTTTCCTAATTTCGTGGTAACGGCGAACTGAATCAACAACATACAGTTTTCCTCTTCTGTTCCACCATAACTTGAGTCTGCATCCTCGTCGCCAAATGTAGTGTTTGCCACATGGTTCCTCACCTGCACAGATGAGAGACACGTCTTGACAGTCCCATACTTTATTCATGACTACCCCATACAGGCCATGCTGCTTCCGGTCACCCAGATAATACTAGTGGTACAACTTATTATCACCAATACACTACATGTACGATTTCGAGACAATAGCGAGCTGACACGAAATATCATCGCACATGTCAGTGTTGAAAATGGAATCTTTGTTATTGTCGACATTGTGCCCATGTAACGATTTTCGTGTCTCGAAACTGCTTATATAATGTTTTCGTACACTGAAAGATTTACGGAAACTGTCGATGTTTACCGAAGAGAGGCCAGACGTTTGTTCAAAGCAGAGGGTAATGCTAATGCGAGGGTCAATGTTCAAATGTTAAAAGCAGGTAGACAATTTGAATACGATGAGCAGAAAGGTAAAAGAATAGCCTACAAGCTCAACACAATGTTTTGTGAAAACTTAAGTTTTGATTGAACCGCACGTTGAAATAGTCGGGCTGTCCGGTTTACGATCAGGTTTTGAGCATCGCGAGTGTCACTCCTTGTGTATTTTATGCAGTGAGTGTAGCGTTGGAATTTTCTTAAAAATTCATTTCTCCCCGATCTCGTTTTAATTTGAAATATAGGTTAATCACAACATATAAAAAAAATATACGTTGCAAAAGTCTAGATTTATTTTTAAAAAAATTATTGCCCAAAGAATGACTCGAACCCCTCTGAACAATACTTTAAATGTTACTGAAAATAACATCTTCTGATGTTAACGTTGATTTGTCTGAACTAATCAGTTAAAAAGAAGTTATCAAACCGAATTTAGAAAAATGTTGGCCAGTAATATTGGGTCTGTAATAAATCATTGACAAACGAATCTTAATTCATACCGAAAATATGTATTTCTGATGTATACCGTCTACTTCACAATTACTTCAGAGAAATATGACGAGTTATCTCACCCCGCTCCGGAGTCGGTCTTGAGTGGTTACATATGGTCAAGAAACCATATGTTAATTCTCTTCCGGGAAGTGTAATTTCTCAACGAAGGCGGTCAATTTGCCAGCTGAATAAACGCGAAGAGCGCATTTGAAGAGGTTGGTCTCTTTTCAAACAAACGAGTTCAAGCATTGACCTCCTCAGCACAGATCCACAACGTCGCTTACTTATCTCCGTACATGGATGACATGTTGCGGTTGCGGCTCCCGGCAAACAATTTAAACATCCTTGATGAACCAGGTTTAGATCATTATATGAACAGACTTCAGACAGATGCTCAACACACAACCAGAAAGAATTCTGCAGCTGGTGGTGAGTTTCCCTTCAGTTTATCTCCTACATGTCTGGTGGGGTTGTCAACAGAATGTAGTGCTAATGATATGCATACGTGGCTACACAGGGTTACACAGGGCTAAACAGGGCTAAAGAGGGTTAAACAGAGCTACGCAGAGCTATACAGGGCTATACAGGGCTAAACAGAGCTACAGATCTACGCAGGGCTATACAGGACTACGCAGACCTATACAGGGCTAAACAGGGCTACACAGGGCTACACAGAGCTACACAGAGCTAAACACCTTCAGCTGTCACACAAAGTGGTAAACTTCTCAAAATCATAGGACAAGAAATGCATAGTGTAAGATCCAGACATTACATGCATGATATCAAACATCTTCGTCCTCCTGTATCGGTTGTACCTTACAAAACAGAGGGGTAATGGAATAGAAATATCTACCCATGTCGTGAATGGAAGCAGGGTCAGGACCGTGACGATAACGCTTGCACGCTGCACCCAGTGTATTAACGTGTATGTCTGTAAAACCATATACTAAAACACATTCTGTAGTTTGGACCAGTTAGGGAAGGTATATTGTCTCCGAGGACCCATACGTCTATAAGTCGTATTGATTCTGTTTGTCATACAGTTATCATTTACTTGGACTTATGTCAGTTTAGTGGACTCCAACTACCTCCATCTGAATCTGTAAGACAAGGCACCAGCATAGCCCATCAGAAAAAGTGATGAAATGGATACGCAAATAGGACCTTGTATGTACAAGAATAATTAATCCAGTAACTTCAGTATTTTCTGAGAATACTTGTCCCAGTTGCCACGCGATGCACTGAGTACAATAACACCAATAAAGAGCTGTATATCTGTTTGTGCTCAAGATAAACAAGAAATGGAAGGAACTCTAAAAATTGGTGCCCTAAATAATTTTTGTAGAGTTATTTCCATGACTAAACTTATAACTGGATCTCTACTTTCTAGAGCTACTTGTCCAGGCTACTAGATTGGTGCTTGTATTCTTGACAAATATCTCTCAGATGAACATTTTCATGTAATCTTTTCTGAGAAAACGTGCCCCCTTTTCACGCAGTATGCGCTTAGCGAAAACAAAATATTTTAAGTCACCGAATTTTTTATTATGATCGGTAAAATCAACTGGTTTAAATGTCAGGCGTTTGACAATATAGGCTTTGAGAAAACTTTCACATCACGCCGATACAGTTCCCCATTTGGACTATACGTTCCCGAATTTTGTCAAGTGAACATTTGAGTAGACATTGCATATGTTCATGACGGTTGTCACCGGTGGGTCAGGATACGCTCACCTTTTCGCGAACACCTGGTATCATCACCATTTCGTAGTGATTCTTAAACACTAACTCTGTCATCGTATGTCATGGTGTCAATCACTGGAATGTCTGGTTCAGACTCAGTTACATCGTACAGCTGTAATACTGATGAAACAAAGACATACTCATGATATTCTCACAATTGTAGAATCGACTTGCTTATTTTTCTTATGGGTGTGGAAAGGGTTTTGTCGCTTCTATTTACATTGGGCGACATAGCGAGGACGCCGACGCTGTCACGTGTAAGTTCCAGACACCAGCACATTGTATATGGTGGCCAGTATCATCACTGTGTAAAACTGGAGATCTCCAACTTTATTAGGGTTTGAGAAACTATTATAACTATTATCCCAAATGAGAAGCGGACGGGTGGACGGACGAAAACCGGTGCTATATCCCCATCCCACTTCACAATACTACCACTAGACGCCATTGTTGTACACAACGACGACACCTGGCTAAATGTCGTTGACGTGCTGTCAACTGATGAGTCTCGATTCACTTTACACTTGTTTGATATGCGGGATCGTGCAGTCCGCCTTGTCAAGTGAAGGCTGATTGGCAAATAGTGGCCGTAACACGAACCAATAATCCAGAAACGTCATCAATACCGGTTTTAATGAGCTTCCAGTCTGTTATAATAGTACAACTGTTATGGGTGTTTATATAGCGCTATTTCCACATCACCGGGGCATTTGCTCAAAGCACATCATAATATTCATACGTACAGACAGAAGACAGATAACAGCTATCAGTGGTAGTGTCAGAAGAGGTATGTTCTTAATTCAGATTTATACGCAGATGTTATAGGTGCACTCTTGAGGTTAAAGGGAAGAGCTGCATGAGAGTAAGATCGCCACAAAGCACGTGTAAATTGTGAAAATTTCTAGCTTGGAGTTATGTTACATTTAACAATGGTCCTATCCACACTACAAACGATTCTTGTTCTGTATGTACCTTGGTTTATTTGTTCTAGGACGTTATACAGCCGTGCCAGAATTTTGAGATATGCTAAATCTTGTGAAATGCATAGTACAGTGAGATCTAAAATGTTCTTTTCTACATGTTGGTTGGTTGGTTGGTCGGTCGGTCGGTTGGTTAACGCCGCGCTCAGCAATATTCCAGCTATATGGCGGCTTCCTGTAACTAATCGATCGAGTCTGAACCAGACAATGTAATGATCAACATCATGAGCATCGATCTACTCTATATAATCAAGCACACATCTAAAGGATGTAGCCCGTACTGTTTGATAGATCTCTCTTAATGTTAGGTCTAGGCTCCCTAACCATTGCCCGATGTGTTATATCCATATGTAGCACGAGAATATACCATGGCAGAGCAAAGGAATACCCAGGTTTAACTATCCTCAGAACCAAATGCAGTTTGGTGTTAGGTTACAAATAGCTGTGAAAAGTATATTTATATCAATAGAACTGACATTTATAGTCATACTCGGGGCATGGCGTGACCATCCATTGGTGGAATCGGGCCCATTCTACCACCCGTCTAGGTGAAGTAAGGTCGAAGTGGGGTGTTGAGCAAAGCAACACCGGGAACCAGTACCCTAAACCACCAGAATCCCGTTCTCAACCGACACAGGGGCGCAACCCACGGAAACAGGTTTCCAATTTGGTCACCTCTTACGAATAGCAATTGGGTGTTGATAACCTGCCCAGGGTCCACACGGGGGAACAGCTACTAGGTTACAAGCACTCACCACGAATAGGTTTGCTTTCACGAAAGCCCACCCGAAGGGAAAGTAAGGAGGTAAGGAAGAAAGGTAAATAGGTGTGTAGTGGAAGTAAGAGGGTCTAGAAGAGAAGTAAGGAGATAATGGGTAGAATTAAGTAGGTGTGTAGTGGAAGTAAGAGGGCCTAGAAGAGAAGTAGAAGGAGAAGAGGGGTAGAATTAAGTAGGCAAGTGTGCAGTGGAAGTAAGAGGGCCTAGAAGAGAAGATACTGGGTAGAATTAAGTAGGTGTAGGTGGAGAAGAAGAAATGTCGGAGAAGCCTGAGAGTAAGGAGATGGTGGAAGTAAGAGGGGCCTGGGGAGAGGGGACAACGGGTAGAATTAAGTGGGTTATGAAGGAAGTAAGAGGCCCTAGAGAAGTAAGGGTGGGTGGAACTAAGTAGAAGTGTGTAGTGGAAGTAAAGAGGGCCTAGAAGAGAAGCAAGGAGATAATGGGTGGGAATTGGAGTAAGGTGTGTAGTGGAAGTAAGAGAGGGCCTGAGAAGCAAGTAAGGAGATGGGGGTGGGAATGAAGTAAGTGTGTGTGAGGTAAGAGGGGCCTAGAAGGAGTAAGAGGATGATGGGTGGGAATTAAGTGAAGTGTGGTGGAGTAGGGGCCCTGAAGAGAAGTAAGGAGATGAGGGTGGGAATTAATGAGGGTGTGTGGATTACATAGAGGGGCCCAGCAGAAGAAATGGGATATGAGGGTAGGAATTAAGAAGTGTGTGGTGGAGTAAGAGGGCCTAGAAGAGAGAAAGGAGAGAGATGAAGGGGTAGGAATTAAGTAGAGGTGTGTGGTGGAGTAAGGGGCCTAGAAGAGTAAGGAGAGAATGGGTAGAATTAAGAGTAGGGTGTGTAGTGGAAGTAAGAGGGGCCTAGAGAGAAGTAAGGAATGAGAGGTGGGGTTAAGAGTAGGGTGTGTGGTGGAGTAAGAGGGCCTGCAGAGAAGTGAGAAGATGATAGGGTGGGAATTAAGTAGGGTGTGGTGGAAGTAAGTGGCCCCTGAAGAGGGGTAAGTAGAAAGGAGATGATGGGTAGGAATTAGGTGGGTGGTGGAGTGGAGGGGAAGAAGAAGTAAGGAGATAATGGGTAGAATTAAGTAGGTGTGTAGTGGAAGTAAGAGGGCCTAGAAGAGAAGTAAGGAGATAATGGGTAGAATTAAGTAGGTGTGTAAGTGGAAGTAAGAGGGCCTAGAAGAGAAGTAAGGAGATAATGGGTAGAATTAGGTAGGTGTGTAGTGGAAGTAAGAGGGCCTAGAAGAGAAGTAAGGAGATAATGGGTAGAATTAAGTAGGTGTGTAGTGGAAGTAAGAGGGCCTAGAAGAGAAGTAAGGAGATAATGGGTAGAATTAAGTAGGTGTGTAGTGGAAGTAAGAGGGCCTAGAAGAGAAGTAAGGAGATGATGGGTAGAATTAAGTAGGTGTGTAGAGTGGAAGCAAGAGAGGGCCTAGAAGAGAAGTAAGGAGATAATGGGTAGAAATTAAAAGTAAGGTGTGTAAGGAAGTAAGAGGGCCTAGAAGAGAAGGAAGAAGGATTAAGTAGGGGTAGAATTAAGAGCAGGTAGTGTAGTGGAAGAGAGAGGGCCTAGAAGAAGAAGAAGAGGAGTGAGGTGGTAGATTAAGAAGGGCCAAGAAGAGAAGATAAAGTTCGAGGAGATAATGGGGTAGAGATTAAGTGGGTGTGGTGAGTGGAGAAGAAGAGGGCCTGGAGTAAGAATGAAGGAGAAGAGGGGTAGAATTAAGTAGGGTGTGTAGTGGAAGTAAGAGGGCCTAGAAGAGAAGTAAGGAGATATGATGGGTAGAATTAAGTAGGGTGGAATTAAATTAAAGTGTGTGGAAGTAAGAGGACCTAGAAGAGAGGTGTGTGAGTAAGGAGAAGAGGGGTAGGAGATTAAGTAAGTGTGTAGTGGAAGTAAGAGGGCCTAGAAGAAAGGAAGGAGATGAAGGAGGTAGAATTAAGTAGAGGTGTGTATTGGAGATAAGAGGGACCTAGAAGAGAAGTAAGGAGAGAAGAGGGGTAGAGTTAAGTAGGTGTGTGGTGGAAGTAAGAGGGCCTAGAAGAGAAGTAAGGAGATGAATGGTGGGAATTAAAGTAGAGGTGTGTATTAGGGAAGTAAGATGGGCCTAGAAGAGAAGTGTGTGGAGATAATGGGTAGAAGAAGGAAGTAAGTGTGTAGTGGAAGTGGAGAGGGCCTAGGAAGAGAAGTAAGGAGATAATGGGTAGAATTAAGTAAGTGTGTAGTGGAAGTAAGAGGGGCCTAGAAGAGAAGTAAGGAGATGATGGGTAGAATTAAGTAGGTGTGTAGTGGAAGTAAGAGGGCCTAGAAGAAGAGAAGTAAGGATATGAGGGGTAGAATTAAGTAGGTGTGTAGTGGAAGTAAGAGGGCCTAGAAGAGAAGTAAGGATATAATGGGTAGAATTAAGTAGGTGTGTAGTGGAAGTAAGAGGGCCTAGAAGAGAAGTAAGGAGATAATGGGTAGAATTAAGTAGGTGTGTAGTGGAAGTAAGAGGGCCTAGAAGAGAAGTAAGGAGATAATGGGTAGAATTAAGTAGGTGTGTAATGGAAGTAAGAGGGCCTAGAAGAGAAGTAAGGATATGAGGGGTAGAATTAAGTAAGTGTGTAGTGGAAGTAAGAGGGCCTAGAAGAGAAGTAAGGAGATGATGGGTAGAATTAAGTAGGTGTGTAGTGGAAGTAAGAGGGCCTAGAAGAGAAGTAAGGAGATGAGGGGTAGAATTAAGTAAGTGTGCAGTGGAAGTAAGAGGGCCTAGAAGAGAAGTAAGAATATGAGGGGTAGAATTAAGTAAGTGTGTAGTGGAAGTGAGAGGGCCTAGAAGAGAAGTCAGGAGATACTGGGTAGAATTAAGTAGGTGTGTAGTGGAAGTAAGCGTTCATGGAGGAGATGTTGAGTAAAAGTGAAAAGGTCAGTATTAGAGAAAAGAGGACCGGAAAGAGAAGTTAGTAGATATGGATTAGAAGTAAGCATTAATATAGTGGAGGCAACATAGTCTGGAGGAGAAATAGGTTAATCTGTAGAAGTAGGCAGACTTGGCTAAATCTCCTTCCTCTGTGTTTTTTCTAATCTGAGCAGCAATTCGAAAGGCATGAATGACAATGTAGACTGATGGGGATGCCTATATTATCCCTTCATATCTGTCTAAATTGCTCATAAGTGTAATATATGAGGATACTCAGAATTTCACAGTAAAAGGGGAGATGACATTTGCTTTCATTTTTGACAAATTGTCCTGAAGCCCTGAAGATAATGTCACTATATCTATTTACAGACATATGACCCAATGATCAAGTCATGAGTTATGAATAGTGAATTATTTACACGAATTGAAATCACACAGCGCAGGACCATCTACGTTTGGCTATAACTTCAAGCAGAAATGCAGAACATTAAATGTCCTATCTGAAGTCGTTACATTTAAATGCAAACAGAGGAGCCAGAGGTGCGACGTTTTATTGTACGCCACTGTGCGACAGAGCAAACAAACTATGTTTTATCCGATGATAATTAACGAAAATGGATCGGTACCATATTACGTGTAAGGTTATACATTGAATGCAAAAAGTAAACTGTAATAAATGTTGGCCATTGACGTTCCTCAGAAGACTACAGAGCAGTACACAGCTACAAGTAGACAAAGGACCGTAACACAGTCAGGTCCCTGGAACGTAGCTCTGGTATAAACATAATACCCCAATACCGATGAATGTATATCGACGGTGTCAGTGTTGTTTGATTAGTACTAACGTTGAGTAAAATGCATAAAGTCAAAGGTAGTAAAGTACAAAATTACACACATTTTGAGAAAGTTTTGAAAATCAATCAAACACCAAAATAAATAAATCTAGTCCGTTTCACAACAATCTCTACCACTTGTACAATTCCGACTATATCATGGGTAGTGCGATTCTGAGACTAGTCATTTTAGAAAGTATGCTCCACTAGTGTCATCCGTCACAATCAGGGCAAGTCAGTTGTTTACCCGAGAAAACACTTCTAAATCAAAATAGGGAATTGCATTGGATAGATTTTGTCTATCTTGAAACATGCTCTTCATGTCTTTCATAACTTTTTTGAAACCTTTACTCAGGTCTTTAATGCCGTAAAACTGAAGCATTTGCATGTGTTGGTCCACTAATGCCATGCCCCATTGAAACGCCATAATATGATATGTATACCGTCCAGGGGTATCGCATAAAAATGAATGATTGCGAATGGATATCATAAGTATTGATTCTGTTCACCTTTCAGAATGTCTTTCGTGGAGCCGTTTCGTATCAAAATGGTGGAACGTTTACCAACTATTACCAAAGAAGAAAGAAAAAGCACCTTAAAGGACAACAATTTCAACCCATTGAAGCTGAAAGATGACGAAGTATGCCTTTGACCTGTGGTCGGATACTGGTACAGTATCGATGAGTGAACATCAGTGGGCCAGCATGTTTGAGGCACATGAGGGTTCCTATAATCCTACCAGTTTCGATAATATGATCCAAAACGTGGCATCTCTAACAGGTTTTCCTCATGAACAGATATATCCTGTTCATGAAAGAAGAGCGTCAGAACACACTCTGTTCTCCATTTTCGCAATGCCAAAGTTAGCCATATTCAGTAACTATTTGCATCCCGGAGCTCATAAAATCGCCAGAATGTTAGGAGCTACAGTAAGAAATCTTCCTTGCAAATTTATCATTGACGGCTGTTTTAATGGTGACCTTGATTGTGAAAAGTTGGGGACGGAATTAACCAGTAATTATCCTGGAAATGCCGTGGTTATCTTGATAGTTACAAGTGATGGTCAAAACGGCCAGCCTGTATCTATGGCCAACATAAAACGCGTCTCTCAAATTTGCAAGAAATGGGATATCCCTCTGTTCATGGATGGAAGTCGTTTCGCCGAAAATGCCTATTTCATCAAATTAAGAGACGAGTTGTATGTGAATAGTTCAGCAAGAGATATAGCTACAGAGATGTTTTCCTATTGTGATGGCTTGTATCTGGCAGCACACATGTGCAGTATCGGGGGTTTCTTTGCTTGTAGAAGTGGGGACCTTTTTAGACAATTTAGATACAGATTTTCCGTAACTGGTAGCACCAGAAGACATGGTGGAATGCCTTCTAGAGATGCTGTCACTGTTACAATGGGACTGGCAGAAGGGATTGAAGATCGCTACCTAAAGTACAGAATTGAAAGTTTGTCGATGTTTGGTGACATCTTGAAGAAAGCCGGTGTCCCAATAGTTGAGCCAGTAGGAAGCGCCATCTACATCAACGCTGCTAGATGTTTGCCGCACATTCCCACAGAGCAGTATCCAGCGTGGGCCCTGCACTGTGCCCTGTACATAGAGGGCGGTATACGATGTTCACACCTTCCAGAACAGCTGGATGTCGAAAACAATAATCAAGACAATCCTCAACACTTCCTACGAGTCTGTCTTCCGATACGGTCTTACACCCTTTCTCACCTGTTGTACATCGGAGAGGTGTTTAAGTCTGTATTGGCAGGAAAGGAACGTATTTTAGGGTTATGCTTGACGCAGAATGCGACAAATCTCGAGTCTATATCATTTGACAGAGTTGGTTCCGGCCAAGCCAAACGTGTCACTCAGAAACTGCAGGAGCTACGCTAACCTGGAGAGTAGAGTTCTTGATATTTCATTTACACGTAATACCTTTGGGGATCGGGAATCCATAAAACCTAGGTAACCTAGGTAACAGTCTCAGTCAAAGGATCGTTTTCCAAGCTGTCCCACAATATATTGTTTTTTTCTTCCTGATAACAGTTTACATGATACATGTATAGTATTGTCATTGTGCTTACGGGTTTTTTGTGTGTAAAACAATAAAATAAGGAAATAAGAAAAGACATATCACTCGCTCTCATTCATACCCTTGAATTCTTCGCCCTTATAATTCACATTTCAGAAACTGCCTTCAATTTCATTATCCTGCACTGATGCCTTTGCACCCAGTTAGTTAAGTTCATGGAAAGCGGTGTCGCTGAACGTGTACTTGGCAGCTAATGATATCAATTCCATTACTTGAGGCTACCAAGAAGCATGATACGGATACCACTCTATTGGTCAGTTAATCACAAGTGACTTTTCTATTGTTGCCAGTGGCAACCTTCGTCAGGTATTCAAAAATCCACTATAATTTCGTGAGCAGCCTGATGCCGCCGATAGGGATCAAACATCGAAATCAGTATAAATGCTGTCAAATCATATGCTGCCAAATGGTCCAAATGAGAAAAGGACATGTGGAATGACCTCCAGAGAGGAAGATCAATTGCGATTGATACAGGTGACAGTCATCTGAAGGAAAGGAAACAGATAATTGTTCCCACAGATAAGGCCTAACACAAATAACCCCATCTCTTGCTTTCCTACAAAGAGAAACAAATCCAGGTGCGATCGGGACACACCTTCTACGAGCGATACCAGATCCCAAGGCGGTTTCTCAAACTATGTTTTCTTCGTAGAAGACGACAAATAATAGATTTTGTCTACCTATACCCACCAACCAATTTCGACTTGCAGCAGGCAACTCCAAATCGTTCTCGCCGAAATTAGTCCACACGTTATTCTGTAGGCGATGGACCGTCTCGAGCTCCTAGCCAGGGTGCACCAATCCGTCGATTTCTCGCCATTTACTATACTACTCCTTCTATGTGTGTTCCACCACACTAACACAAATAACACTTGTATGTGTGCACCACCACACTAACACAAATAACCCTTCTATGTGTGTACCACCACACTAACACAAATAACCCTTCTATGTGTGTACCACTACACTAACACAAATAACACTTCTATGTGTGTACCACCACACTTACACAAATAAACCTTCTATGTGTGCACCCCTACACTAACACAAATAACACTTCTATGTGTCGACCTCTACACTAACACAAATAACCCTTCTATGTGTGTACCACCACACTTACACAAATAACACTTCTATGTGTGTGTACCACCACACTAACACAAATAGCACTTCTATGTGTGTACCACCACACTAACACAAATAACCCTTCTATGAGCTACACTAACACAAATAACCCTTCTATGTGTGTACCATCACACTAACACAAATAACCCTTCTATGTGTGCGTCCCTACACTACACCTACAGCTGCGTGAAGTATCTGATCCTGGTCCTATCGTCAGCTATAACGTTGTCGACTTGTTTACTAATGTTCCACGAGAAGAAGCCCTTTTAGCCCTACGGGAACGACTCAACCAACTTCAACAGCCACTTGACACCAGCTTTTCCATAGACTCAATCATTAACCTCACCTCAGCCTGCATCGAGTCCACTTACTTCACATGGGGTGACGATGTATATGAACAAATACATGGACTACCTATGGGCCCGCCACTATCACCAATCCTCACTGAGATATATATGTCAGATCTAGAAGAGAAAGCCCTCCTCACATCACCTTTCCAACCTATGTGCTGGTATTGGAAGGTGGACGACACATTTGTGGTTCTGAAACCTGACAACAACGAGAGTTAAATTTACCATGGAGACTGAAACCAACAACCAGATCCCATTCCTAGACGTCCTTGTATCCCGCACCGATTCCAGCTACATTATCACCATCTACTACTAAAGTTCCTCGACCTGAATCTGCCCCCATAAAGATCTCCATCCCATACATCGGCAAACCTTCCCACCAGATCAGCAGGCTCCTTAAGCAACAAGCAGGCATAGATACCACCTTTTCAACTTCCGCCACCATCAACAACCTCCTGCGGGCCAACGGTAGAAAATACCCACAAACCAAGAAACCCCAAAGGCGTAATTTACAAAATTGACTGCAATTGTGGACACTCTTACATAGGAGAAACATCCAGGCCCGTCAACACCAGAATCAAGGAACATCAGACTTCAACCATCAAATCGGACCAGAAATCAGCGATATCAGACCACATAGCAACTCATCCCAATCACCAAATCAACTGGACTGACTTCACCATCCTCGCTACAAACCAATCAGACTTTACCAAACGCAAGATACTTGAAGGAATTAACATCAAACGATACCGACCACTGATTAATAGAGATCAAGACTACTTTATCCCCACTGCATACGATGAGGTCATCAATCAACCATAGCCTCTTGTATAAACATTACTGGCTTCTACTGGCTTCAATGTTTATCCCTGTTGTCCTCTGCTACCCTTTATTCACTATCATCACATTGTTGTTCCGCCTTGCCTTGTTAATTAGTCTTGTTGTATATATATCACCTGTTCTCTCCTTGAACCTTTATCACTTGAAAAGAACCTGTATCGAAACGTCGTGCTCTAGAATGAAAGAAGTTGTCATCCATTTACACTTGTTCTATCTGACTTCCAACTTCTAAAATGCCACTCAAAGAAGTCATGGAACCGTAGTAGATTCTTTGAAGATACAAGTGCGCGTGCTTTCTTTCACAATTTTAAATTTCAAGTTAATCTTTCCAATTAGTATGAACGTCTGATTTGACTTTTTTCGTAAGGTACTCGCCTATACATTTCCTACACCTTTCAGTTTCTGTGGCACATGTGCACTAACTTTTCAACAAGGTCGTGTGAAGGCCTTGACACTACACTCAAATGTCTTATGTGTATATACCACAGACTGAGCTGCTGGAATATTGTTTGGTGATAAAGAGGTATTTGACTTTAGGAATATGGAAGTTATTCCTCTTCAGTCTTGTGGATAGTTTCTTTTCACTCTGAATATGTATGCGTATACTTAAATATGAAGCCGGCACGGCAGTGAGTTTCTTACAGTGAGTTATCTTTAGAGCTCAGTTGTGTAAATATGTATAACACTCATAAATGATAAACATGTTATAATTTAATGCTGTGTATCATATGTGATATGTGTTTCTCGGATCAAAACTATTTGGCATTACTAGGCCATAATATTAAAAAGTTATAACACTGTATACGTAGTTGTACAGTACAACCAGAAACTATTGAGAATTTAAAGATTGACATTGTTTCATTTTTTTCACTCATTACTCACGTATTAAATGTGGATATTAGCAGAACATAACTCCAGATTCAAAGACAGGTGAACAGTTAGTATTTTGTCAAGTCACCATGGGCAGCAATGCAGGCTTCAATGCGGCGGGGCATACTACTAATCAAAGAAGTTAGAAAGTCGTGGTCCATGCTGTCCCAATATCGGACCACCCCGGCCTCTTCTTTCATTTCAGCAATATTTGTCAGATTTTTCTTATTGACACTTTCCTTCATAAGTCCCCAAACATTTTCTATTGGATTTAGGTCAGGGCTATAGCTTGGCCAATCTAATAACGTCATATTTTGGGTCCGAAACCAGGCCTGTGAATACTTTGAACGATGTTTTGGGTCGTTGTCCTGCTGGAAAATACAAACATTTCTTTAGAACACGTGAGCAGATGGAAATAAATGTCCCTCGAGAATATCTGTGTACAGCTCACTGTTCATATTCCTTCAAATACACAGAGGGGCGTTGTCCCTAACACAGATATGCCACCCCACACGTAAATTGCGGACTGTACTTTGGGCACTGATACAAAGGTTTTTCAGTTTGTTTGGTCCAGAATTTCAGTGTATTAGGTAACAGCCACACAGAACTTTCATCTGAGAAAATCACATTGTCCCAGTTAAAATTTCTATGCTGTAAGCACCAGTTCAACCTGATATATCATGTCAGGTGAGAAGCGAGTTAGTGAGGAGATATCATGGCAGGAGAGCAGCGAGTCAACGATATGTCATAGTAAGAGATCAGTGAATCAGTGAGAAGATATCATGGCAGAAGAGCAGCGAGAAGATATCATGTCAGGAGAGCAGCGAGTTAGTGAGAACATGTCATGGCAGGAGAGCAGCGAGTTAGTGAGAAGATGTCATGGCAGGAGAACAGCGAGTCAGCGAGAAGATGTCATGGCAGGAGAGCAGCGAGTTAGTGAGAAGATGTCATGGCAGGAGAGCAGCGAGTCAGCGAGAAGATGTCATGGCAGGAGAACAGCGAGTCAGCGAGAAGATGTCATGACAGGAGAACAGCGAGTTAGTGAGAAGATATCATGACAGGAGAACAGCGAGTCAGCGAGAAGATATCATGACAGGAGAACAGCGAGTCAGCGAGAAGATGTCATGGCAGGAGAACAGCGAGTTAGTGAGAAGATGTCATGGCAGGAGAACAGCGAGTTAGTGAGAAGATGTCATGACAGGAGAGCAGCGAGTTAGTGAGAAGATATCATGACAGGAGAACAGCGAGTCAGCGAGAAGATATCATGACAGGAGAGCAGCGAGTTAGTGAGAAGATGTCATGGCAGGAGAACAGCGAGTTAGTGAGAAGATATCATGACAGGAGAGCAGCGAGTTAGTGAGAAGATGTCATGACAGGAAAACAGCGAGTCAGCGAGAATATGTCATAGGAGGAGATAAGCGAGTCAGCGAGAATGATTAAATATAATTAGCATCTTTATGTTAGCAAATTTGATGGCAAAAATATCGCCCATGTTGTTACATGGTAGGTTTTGCGGATATATTTTTCGACTGCCCAGTGAAATAGCTACGGTAAACGTTTTAGATCCATATGAATGATATTAATGACAGGATTTGTCATTCTAATATTTAGCCTCTGGAGTTTTATTATGAAGAAAAGCCATTTATTAACTATTTGTATTCTAATGCATAATGAAGACATGATTGATCAAGGTTATTTTTAACCGTGGGGAAAATATACTCATTATTTTGGGTTACTTTGGCACATATCATTTGTAAAAATATTTAAACAGATCCATGTATATACTTATTTTTCACAAAATGTTGTCACATCTGTGTCTATACCAGTTTGCAAAACGTGAAAAATTATCA